GTGTGTGTGTGTGTGTGTGTGTGTGTGTGTGTGCATGCATGTGTGCGCAGCGGTGGAGCTGCAGTTCTCCCTGGACCTGGGCCTGTCTTGGCAGCCGCTGGTGAGAGACTGCCTACCCAGCAGCCCCGACTGCCCCGCCTACACACTGCAGAGGCTGCTGGTGTCTGACACCTACAACAAGTGGGGGCGTGTCACCCTTCCCGTCCCCCCCTACGCCAGGTCCGTCCCACATTACCATGCCCAAGCAGCTCGGCCGTTCGACACCACATTGCCGGCCGGACCTAGACCCGCCTGCGCCGGCCGGACTTAGACCCCCGGACTTAGACCCACCTGCGCTGTGTCTGACAGGTCCCCGGCGACTCGGTTCCGCTGGTACCAGCCAGCTCCCTTTGACAAGCAGCAGACGTGGGCTCTGGACAACCTGTACATCGGGGACGGCTGCCCGGACATGTGCTCTGGACATGGGCGCTGTCAGCAGAGCACCTGCGTGTGAGTGACGTATAATTATATGTCAATGGGGCCAGTAGGGGGCACTGTCCGTGTGGCCATAAGAAGCTGCTGTCCACGTGGCCAGTAGGGGGCACTGTCCGTGTGGTCATAAGAAGCTGCTGTCCACGTGGCCAGTAGGGGGCACTGTCCGTNAGAAGCTGCTGTCCACGTGGCCAGTAGGGGGCACTGTCCGTGTGGTCATAAGAAGCTGCTGTCCACGTGGCCAGTAGGGGGCACTGTCCGTGTGGCTAGTATGTGCTTGCTTCTGGTGCGATAGATAATTGCTGAGTGACCAATGGTATGAAAGTCCAGCATCTGCTCCCTCCCGTCTCTCTCTAGCTGTGACCCGGAGTGGGGTGGCGTTTATTGCGACGAGCCGCAGTCGCCCCTTCCCTCCCAGCTCAAGGACAGCTTCAGTCGGGCGCCAAATCCCAGCAGCTGGCTCTTGGTAACAGGGGGCAAGCTAAGCAGCGTGTGTGGGGCCGTGGCGTCGGGCGAGGCTCTGCACTTCAGTGGGGTACGGCTCACCGGCATGTTTAACGCAAACAAAACCCAGCTGGACTGCAACTGGTCAAGATAAACGGGATATTACTGTAACAAATCAGACATAAACTCATCAGTGTAACAAATCAAGCATAAACGATGTAACGAGTCAGACATAAACAGATTATCACTGTAACAAATCAGATATAAATAAATTGATACTGTTACCTATCAGACATAAACAGGTCATCACTGTCACAAATCAGACGTAAACACAATATCATTATCACATATAAAACATAAACAGATTATCATTGACAAATTAGCTGTAAACAGGCTATCACTGTTATTTCTCAGACGTAAACTATAACTTACAAATCAGATGTAAGCAAATTGTCACACATTAGACGTAAACAGATTATCACTGCAACAAATCAGGCATAAACAAATCATCACTGCGACAAATCAGGCTTAAGATATTACTGCGACAAATCAGATGTAAAAAATCTTCTGCTACGAAAACCGAGTCTGCAAACCAAGCATTATTTTTAATGGTGCTATTTAATAAATGCTCTTTCAACAAGTCCTGCTGCATAACTTTTGCTCCACCTGCTGGTCAGTTTGTAAATATTGTGGAGATGTACAAAGGGCAAAGCAAATACTCGTGATTTCTTTCTTACTAAACCACCATATATTTAATGACCCTTCATCCCGATTCCCCTCATGCTCAGAGCTGCAGTCGTCAACTGGTCACCGTGGACCTGAACCTCACCAGCGCCGAGTTCATCCAGTTCTACTTCATGTATGGCTGCATGGCGCCCCCTAGCAACCGCAACCAGGCAGTCCTGCTGGAGTTCAGCCTGAATGGTGGCATCAGCTGGAACCTGCTGACGGAGATTTTCTATGACCAGTACAGCAAGCCTGGGTAGGTGTCTGCAGCTTAACAAGTAGAGTGCTGTGTTAGTAATACAAAGGTTATGGTCTCAAATACCAAGTGCCTGTAAAAAATAATAACCCTCCATTTTATTGTAAGTCACTTTGGATAAAAGATGCTCTGCGTATGTTTGGCAGGGAACACATTCAGGCTGTCAAAATCCGTGAGAAACTAACCTCTAATTTTAATGCAATGTATACAGTAATACTACTCGCTGTTCTTGTACCAATTACCTGGATAACTCATGATATTTCAATCTGACAGCAACTGCAAGTAAAGCTTGCTTGTTCTTTTTGGTGCTCCACACATAGGTTTGTGAATGTGCTGCTGCCCCCTGCTGCACGGGTGGAGGGAGTGCGTGTGCGCTGGTGGCAGCCACAGCATGACGGCGTGGACCACAGCGACTGGGCTCTGGACAATGTGCTCATTGCTGGCTCGGACCCTCGGGCCCAGATCCTGGACACGTTCGGGGGAGTCGCCCTGCCCAATCACGAGCGAACCCCCGCTGATGGAGCCTCTGTGGGACGTGTCACCCACCTGCCTGACCTGGAGGAGCCCACCACAGGTAGGGGGTGGGCTGTGTGTGGGGTCGAGGGGACGATGGAGTGACAGAAGGTGGGACCAGGTGTGGTGTGACAGTTTAACACATTGACTTACAACCCAGCCGGTTCTAGTCCAAGAAGGAGTCTTAGATTTTAATGTTTGCTAAATGAACTTAATCTGAACTGCCACATTAAAACATCTTGTTGTATAAATTAATAATCCGGCAAGAGGGAGTCCAATAACAGTATAAAACGATGTTTTAATAGCAATTACTCATTCTGTCATTATAGATCTTATGCTTATGAGACCAAAAAACCTATCAGGCTGACTTAGTGGTTTGTTACGGTTGTTATAGTGGCTATAGTTTATGTCTTGTGGCACAGCGTGAGTAACTGGGCTGACAGTAAACCCCAGGGGGCGATACACTCACTGGACTGTGTGTCACGCAGTGAGTGACCACTGGCTGTTCTCGGAGGACTGCGTGCTACAGCGCTTCTGCGGCTCCCCGGATGGCGTGATGGTGTGCGGCAACGTGGACGGGCGCGAGGTGTACGCCGTCACGCACGACATCGTCCCGGGCAACGGCTGGGTCATGCAGTTCAAGGTCAGCAGGCCGAGACACGGGGTCACAACGGGCTTTCATTGGTCGCCTGTGTCACATGACTCTCATGCTATGCTGTCCTCTGGCCTGTGCCCATTGGCTGTTGACCTGCTCCCATCCAGATGGCTATGGGCTGTGGTATCCCAGAGCGACTCGCCGAGAGACAGGTCCATGTCCAGTACTCAGTGGACTTCGGCGTGTCCTGGAGGTACCTGCTGCCCCAGTGCCTGCCCGCTGACCCGCAGTGTGGGGGCCAGGTGTCCCAGCCGTCCGTCCTCTTCCCGGCTGAGGCCTGGAAGCGGGTGATCTACCCGCTGGCAGACAGCCTGACTGACACGTGAGTTCACCCTCATCCATTAAAGCAGCTGTGTCTCCCTTAAAACATTTAGACATGCGTTTTACTGCTATGTGCCTATTTGAGGTAGCATTGAATCAGGTTTACGTGTGTAGGGGCAAGGACTTGTACCCAGAGGGTTGTTGGTTCCTATCCCAGCAGAGGTGTAGTCATTATAGCCTTTTATTTGGATAGATGTTTACATGTAGCTTATATTATGTATGCATACGTGTGTGAGCGTGTTTTCTCTTACGTCGGGGTTGGGGGGGGCAGGTCGGTGCGCTTCCGGTTCTACCAGCAGCACTCGGACACCCAGTGGGCCCTGGAGAATTTCTACATCGGGCCGGCGTGCGAGGGCCACTGCGGGGGCCACGGAGACTGTCTGGACCAGCGCTGCCTCTGCGACCCCGGCTTCTCTGGGCCCAGCTGCCATGCCAGCTCGCCGCTCAGGGTACCGCCTCTATTTACCGGGGTTCCGGTGGGCCTTGAACCCCTCTTGGGAAGCACAGGGCTTGTGGCAGGGGCATCCATGCATACACGCCTAGCACATGCTAGGAGCGGTTTAAAAACACCAGATCAAGTAAGCACATGTTCTGTGATCTGACAGAAACCCCTCCAAACACAGAGGGCTCCCAAGCACCATGCTGCTATCTGCTAACTTACTGCGCTGCCCATATTTATTATTAATATTATCATTAATCCTCAAACGAGCGTGATGGGCCGAATGGCCTCCTCTCGTTTGTAAATTTCTTATGTTCTTTATTTAATAAGCCAGGAGGCAATCGTATCTGCAAAGGGCCGGTGTGTATGCAGGTTTTTCAGATGACCTGTAGGTCAGCTGTTCAAACCCAGGTGTGAGGACTCTTCAGCCAATCAGTCCTCTAATTAGTAATCTAATCAGGGATCAGTGAAACTCCGCACACACGCCCGGATAAGACTGCCACCCCTGTAATAAGCAGTTACTTGCTAAGCAGTTAGGACTCGAACCTGACTGCTAATGGAATGTGAGATGATGTAATATCTCACACTGCTCAGTTTCCAGGCTGGATATTGGTGTCCATACTGATGGGGTCTGTGCCTCCTCTGTAACTCCTCTGCAGACCTCCCTGAAGGAGCGCTTTGACTGGGAGGGCTCCCCCGATCCCCAGTGGCAGATCCTGGAGGGGGGCCGCCCCTGTACTGACTGCGGGGTGCTTGTGGAGGGGACGGCCCTGTACTTCAGTGGCGCCAACGCCCGGCAGGCTGTCACCCAGGACCTGGACCTCCGTGGAGCCAAGTCAGTACTCCGACAAGTCCCATAATCCTGTGGTTTAGCTGAAATGCTAAAAACAACGCTAACAATGCTAACCGACGCTAAAGGTGAGTCACACGTTGGCAGGTTTGTGGAGTACTGGGCGAGGATCGGGAGCGAGGACAACATGACAATGTGTCACCGGCCAACGTGCCGCAAAGAGGGAGTGCTGCTGGACTACTCCACCGATGGAGGTATGGACCAGTATCTCCCCCACCGACTGACACCAGGGGTCACCATCACAGCTTAGGCACAAAGACATCACACATAAACAGGAACTCATTTATGTCAGGTTGCTTTAAAGCGCTGTTACGGCCAAATCAATGACCGCAACATAAAAGACCCAAACCAGCTGGCTCAACGATCTAGGGTTTTTATTTACAAAAGAAAAGTAAGCACCAAAGCAAAAGTCCGGGAAATATAAGAGAGCAGCAGAACAGAATATCAACACAGACAAACAAAAATCTCAGCAGCAGGAACACTCAGCGTGGGGTCGAAGCTCTCCTCCTGATGCAGGTGGACCCGGGGCTCTAGTAGGGAAGACTCCACCCATCCAACAGGTCTCACCTGTAATCAATTAGAAAAGCAAACCACCACCACCACCTGCAACCTAAAAAAAACCCATAATGCAGCCTTACCCGGAATAAACAGGAAACCGAAGACGGACGTAACAAGCGCCATCTAGTGTCTCACCTTTGCTTTGGCGTCTCGCTCCTTCCCATCTTGTCATAGGTGTGTCCTGGACCCTGCTGCATGAGATGGATTACCTGAAGTATGCGTCTGTGCGGAGGGATTACATCGTGCTGCCAGAGGGGGCGCTGTCCAATGCCACCCGCTTCCGCTGGTGGCAGCCTTTTACCATCTCCTCGGGCCTGGCCATGCCCGGCCTGGAGCGGGCTCAGTGGGCCCTGGACAACATCCTGGTGGGCGGGTCTGACATCAACCCAAGCACCCTGCTCGACACTTTCGATGAAGGTTAGTGCTATTAGCCATTAGCTGGATTAGCCTGCTGGAAAAGGCCTCAGTGTTTACCTCATTTGCCCTATTGTCCCCCCCTACTTTCCCTGCTCTCCTGAACTTGCCCCCCCCCCCCCCAGAGGGCATGTCTCACGAGGAATCCTGGAGCTTCTACCCCAATGCTGTACGCACGGCTGGCTTCTGTGGAAACCCCTCCTTCCATCTGTACTGGCCCAACAAGAACGGCGACGGCACTCACAACATCTTGGTCACACGCGAGCTAATCGTGCAGCCTGGCTACATCCTGCAGTTCAAGGTCAGGACCCCTACAGCTCTCTACAGCTCACCCGCCACAGGGTAATGAGATGGGGGCCCCCTGGTGGCTGCTGGGCCCTATGCAGCCGGGGGCTGGCCCTGTACCTGAGTGTTTAGTCTCTTGCAGATTGTGGTGGGCTGCGAGGCGGACAGCTGTGAGGATCACCATGCTGTGAAGCTCGAGTACAGGAAGGATGCCAGGTGATCGAGGGTTGTACCATCTAAATACTCAGTGACTCAGTGCATGGGACTGATGAATCACTCCTTCTCTCACTGCTCCCCCCCCCCAGGTCTGATTCCTGGCACTTGGTACAGTCCGAGTGTCTCCCCTCCTCCGTGAACAACGTGGGCTGCTCCCCCTTCCAGTTCCATGAGTCGACCATCTATAGTCCCGTCAACAGTTCGGTGTGGACCAGGGTCACTGTCCAGCTGCCAGACTATGTCTCCTCTGGGTACAGGAAGTCACTGCCTCATGCAACTCTCTTTCTCTGTTGGATCTGTCTAGGTTTTCTCACTATCAGTTGGGTCTCTGTCTGTCTATGGTGAACTTGGTGGAATTTGGTACCACCTTCTGGTTCCATTAAGATATTCAAGGTCTTTTTTCTTAAAGCTTGTGAAGATGTGAAATACATCTGGACTGAATTCACGCTCTTTGGCTGTGTCATTTATTGTTTTCCCACGTTTCACCATCTGTAGTGCGACGCAGTTCCGGTGGATCCAGAAAGAGGGTGCTGGTGAGCGGCAGGGCTGGGGAGTAGATCACGTTTACATTGGTGAGGCGTGTACCGGCCTCTGCAGCGGTCATGGCTATTGTACCAGTGGGGCTGTCTGCATCTGTGATGAGGGACATCAGGGTGAGAACAATCTCCTGCTGTCCTGTTTAACATGAAGTAGCGAAGGTCCAGTGTTTTACTATCACATTTACTGAACACCAGCTAATCTGCACGGTTTCATATGTGTGTGAAAGTGTCATATAAAGGTTGTCAAAGCAATGGCCTGTACTGTGTATTAAAAATTCACACCTACCACCTACGTCATGGAGAACCCAGGGCTATCATGTCATCTTTTGGGAAAAGCCTTCAAGGATCCTGAGGTTCCACAGAAAGTCGCTGAGCAGTTAGAGAGATGAAAAGTGTGAGGGGTAGGGGGTGAGGCTTCTGGAGTTTCTAGTAATGGGCTGTGCAAAGACTTTTTAAAAAGATAAAGGAAGTTTGACATTATAATCTTCAAGACTGATATCTGTCAAGTAAGAAACCTGTGAAATGGAAATGTCTCACAGAAAAGCCTCATCATGTGGGCGGCGTCTCTGTCAAACTTCTCTTGGCCCATCACATGGGTGCTGGGACCAGCCTCGTTGGCGTCTCTGTCAAGCTTCTCATGGCCTGTTACACAGGTTCTGAGACAGGTCTCGTCGGTATCTCTGTTGAGCTTCTCTCGGCCCGTCATGAAAATGCTGAGACCGGCCTCGTTGGCATATGCATCAAGTTTCTCTCGGCCCATCACATGGGTTCTGAGATCGGCCTTGTAGGCATCTCCGTTGAGTTTCTCTCGGCCCGTCAAGTGGGTCCTGGGACTGGCCTCTCCGGTGATTCCATTGAGCTTCTTTTGGCCCGTTGTGCAGATGCTGGGACCAGCCTCATTGGCATCTCCACTGAGCTTCTCTTGGCCTGTCACGTGGGGGCCGAGATCGGCCTCGTTGGCATCTCTGTTGAGCTTCTCTCGACAAGTCACATAGGTGCTGGGACTGGCTTTGTTGGTATCTCCATCAAGCCTCATTCTTCTTCTTCTTCCTTAAGGTGATGACTGCTCCCTGTCCAGCACTGACCTCTCCAGCTCCATCAAGGACAACTTTGAGTCTGGAACCGTGTCTGATGAGAGCTGGCAGCTGATCCAGGGAGGAGGTGTGGGTAACGGGTGCGGCCAGCTCTCTCCCCATGCCCATGGCGATTCGCTCTACTTCAACGGCTGCAAGATGAGGCAGGCCATCACCAAGCCTCTGGAACTCACCAGGGCAAGGTGCGGAGAAAGCTTCATGAATTAGCTTTATTTCTGCAAAATGTCCTACTATTTTTTAGGCTGCCACTCAATATTTGTGGTTAATGGTGAGGCATGAAATTGTAATGAAAACTTATTGGAGGTAAGGATTCTAACTGCCTTGATTTTGATTTTGACTCATCACCTGATATAAACCTAGACAAACCAACAAGGAACTAGCAAGCTTCTTGCCCCTTTAACAACTTGAGGAACCTTTGCAAAGGTACATCATGATAGGTTTGAATCATTTATATATTCAGCACAAGTGATAAATCTGACCCTAAATGTTTTAGGGTCAGATTGCAGCATCCCTGAAGAGGTGGTGGTGTAGGGTCTTTCTCAATGGCTTAATGGTCGGAAGATTACTTTGGGGGCTATTGGGATTTGACCCCACAACCTTCCGGAGACAGGCTGTGGTTCATAACCCACTGAAAAATAATAAATAATGCTATGATAATGTTGTTGACCATGAGTGTCTTTGATGGTGCTCATATGTCGAGTGGTGTCATGGATGATGTCATGATCCTGACTACAGGTCATGACGGTGCTCTGACTCCATACCTTCACTCCCATGCAGCAAGATCATGTTCGTGCTGCAGATCGGCAGCACATCCCAGACGGACAGCTGCAATGTGGCCCTCGACCGGCCTGACACAGTGGATCGGGCTGTCCTGCTGCAGTACAGCATCAACCATGGAGTCAGCTGGCATGTCATCGCCCAGCATCAACCCAAGGACTTTATCCGAGCCCAGAGGGTCTCCTACAACATCCCACTGTGAGTGCAGGCAGACCCGACTGTTTCTCTGATGCACCACAACATGCTATAGTTGATCTTGGCGAGTTGTTAAAACATCACATGCAAGCTAGAGCAGGCCTAGCATGTAGCATAGCATAAAACATCTTCTTTGTCACATTAACATTGACTGGTCAATAGACGTTTATCACAGTTCAGTGAAAATAGAGTCTGAAATCCTGATAAACCCACTGGATAATGTACTTTTGGTCTGCCACATGCGTTAACGCATACAGCTTTAATACCCACCTGGAGACATGACAGCTTGGGTTCATGTGTAATGGTGAATTCTCACTTGCCGACCACTTCTCCTCCGTCTCTCAGCGAGGCGAGAGTGACAGGAGTGGAGCTCCGATGGTGGCAGCCCCGTCATGACGGTGCCGGCCACGACCAGTGGGCCCTGGACCATATTGAGGTCGTCCTGTGAGTACATTTCCTCATTCTCATCATGATGGTCCCAAATTGCTTCACATGCACCAACTCTCTGTCCCTCTACGTGTCAGCTGGCTCTCAAACGACACAACATCTCACATTCTCAACTTTATACTCACTTGGAGTTTACAGATTATTCCGTATTAGCCCTGAAATCATCTGAAGTTCTCTTTGAGTCTTGGGATGCCTCCTTCACCAGGATGACTTGCCTTAAGGCCTCTGCTGCTCCTTACAGTGCCCCATAGTCACTAGATACCTTCTCTTCTAAAAGAGTACCTATGTCTGCTGGATGTTGTGCCACGACCTTGGTTTCCAGTGTGGGGAGTGTGAGTCTTCATCTGGGGGCATGAAGAACCTTGATGTCCCAATGTGCACAAGGCACAATGTGGCTTATGACAATTCAGCTGTTTCTTTGGCAGCTTTCTACACTTAAGACTGCAACCAGAGAGTTTGAAGACCTCCTCCAGGGGATGGGGAATAGTTTGGCTTTGCAGCCTTCTCTTTCTGCCAGCTGATGTCCAAACACTGATAGGTCCACAGACATTTCCACCCCACTTGCGGGGTACAGTATAGGGTTTACACAGGCTGCCAGAGGCTCATTTCTGCCTGTGAGTATCTCCTCTAGATCACTCTAGTTGACACCAAGACAGTGAAAGGAATCCTACAGAGGTACATCACATGGTTCTGAGCAGGCTGGAGCCTGCTGTTACCTCCTTTGCTGTTTGCACAGCTCTCCTCCAGGCAGTCCCGTCCATGATTGGCGTTTCTCCTTCTCCTAAATCCCTGTCCAGGCTCATCCCCTCATCCCCTCATCCCCCTCATCCTCCTCATCACTCCTCATCTTCCTTATCCTCCTCATCCTCCTCATCATTCCTCATCCTTGTCATCCTCCTCATCACTTCTCAATACTCCTCAATATTCCTCATCCCCTCATCACTCCTCATCCCCTCATCACACCTTATCTCTGCTTCATAGTGCTCTTCATCTCCAGTTACCTGACTGATTTCTCATTGCCTTTCACCCTGTTTTGTCTCACTTCCGGCGGCATGTTCTGATCTCCTTGACTTTCCAATCTTTCTCATTCTCCGCTATCGCTCTGTCTCTCATTCCCTTTGATTCTCTTGCCCTCTGTCCCTCTTTTATTCCCTTCCTCATTTTCTCCTGCTCATTATCAGTTCAGCCCCTCCTTCCCTGCACTGCCCCTCCAGGCCGGGTCTTCTGCCCACCAAGACCTTCCTGCGAGGCAGCTGCCCCCTCCCGCCCCTCCCCTCTCGCGCTCTAACCTCTGCTCTCTTCTGCATTATGCTCCCTGTCCTATGGCTGTAGAGTCAGGTAAGTTGCTCGCCGTTTCCAGAATGTGCCCATTCCACCCATCATGCTTACATGACGCCCCAGCCCCAACCAGAGTCACACGGGACACACTGTCATCGTTCTGGGACTTTCTGTAAGCTTAGCTGAAAGACAAAGGCCAGCAGTGTTCTGCCTACAGCTTTTTCTCCACCCCACGCATCTTCAGTGACAGTTCCTCTGAGGAACCATTGAAGTGACCCATGGCTGCGGTGCCCTACAGCAGGGCCAGGATGGCTGGACTGCACAAGTACTTACTTGTGTTCAAAAATGATTCAACAAGATCTCTGAGGGTGCTTCGGACTTTGAAATGACGACAGATCAGGTCTTGTGAAATGGGGACTGGCATTTCACATATCTGTATTGTCATGGATAGATGATATTAGCCCATTGACATACATTTCATTTTGTTTGTGTTTACATCTCCTAAGTATTTGTGTAGTCAGTCTTAGCCTGTTGGATGCTTGTGAGCTTTTAGTTTTCGTTGTTCTTGTTTATGTGTGGTTGAGTGTTGGGTGTTGGGCATTGGTGTATATTATGGGGGAGATGAGGAGGTTGTAAACTCCGAATAATCAAAACCAGTCAATACAACCACCTGGACCCCCTTAACTGGGTGATCTCAACCTCCCACTCTGCTCAACCCAAAGTTATGCCCTTGGTGTTGGGTGTTAGTTTAACATGGTTTCCAGGGAAAGACTGTACTGCTGTGACCCACCCCGCAGTATCTTATGCCACGTCACTGGAACACAGATATCTGTGGGGTGTTGATCCTTTCTGATGCACTTTGGACAGTGGACATGTTGCACAGTGAAATGGGGAAGGTTTGATCAGAGTCAGTCCCCGCCTTCTCCATTTCATTCCAACATTTAATTGGTCATATAGGCCTCAAACAAAAAATGTGTCCAATGTGATGATCTACTAGGCCGTCTTACAGACCAAATGCACAGGTCCACTCATGACAGCTCACAACTATGACATGACCGGTATCTTTTCCACTTTCTCTTTACATCCTGCATGGCTTTCACAGTCTGTAGCTTTTTGCTTCTCACGCTCCGTTTACTCAGTCTTCTTTGGTCACGGAGTTTCCTGGAGTCCCCAGCTTGAGTCTCAAGTTCGAGGACACGGGGAACGTGTCCCACTGCTCATTCCACCCCTCCCTTTGTAAGCCCTTCTGCCACCAACCAGCTCCCCACTCCGTTGCCCACACCGCTTTGCAGAGCCCTACACCTGCCCCGGCTGCTCTTGACTCACTGGCACCCCCTGCTGGAAGGAAGAGACAATGACAGGCTAAGCAAAATCAATTTTCATAGCATTTTTTTCTTTTCTCTTTCCTCCTTCTGTCTTCAAGTTGATTTCGGCCATGACCTCAAACACTCACACGGGAATGCAGAAGCTTTGTCCGTAGATCCATTGAGCTTGTCATTGAGCGTTTTGCGTCAGACACCCTCATCGTATTAGCCGATAATTAGGAATGTTCTGCTTTTGCCATTGGTTTTTCAGTATAGAAAAGATGGGAACTTCATGGAAGGGCAGCCCTACATTGGGGTGAGGGAGAGGTTAACAGTCAAGGGTAACGGGACATTTTCAGAGCCTGCTCTGTTCCACTTCATTATAAAAGGCAGGAGACGCCAAGCGATTATGCTGGTCGTTTCGCAGGCAAGCAGTGACACAGATGGTGCCCTAACCCACTGCGTGGTTGCCCAGACAGGTCCCCTAAAGAGGACGGAGATCTGAGCTGATTTTGAACATCTGCTCTGCGTACTGCTGGAGCGATGGCGGCGGGGATGTCGATGGCAAGGACACCTCTGAGTGTGGGAGTGTTTGGGGTTATGGGGGAAACTTCCAGAGGGCCTCGTCTTTACCAGCTCCTTCTGAGCGCGGGCCATTAATCAATGCTTCCCTTCCCTGCCCCTCTTCCTCTCCCCCCCCTCCCCCGCTTAGCACCCGCAAACAAAACTACATGGTGAACTTTTCGCGGCAGAGCAACCTGCGGCACTACTACAGCAGGAAGAGGCGGGCTCTGCGGCAGCATGCCTGAAATGCGCCGAGCGGCCTCGCTCGCACTGTGACCCGCCCGCTCACGCATAACCCTCCTCCACCACTTTGTGCTGATGGCGTCGACGTCCCGGAGAGCTCGACCAACCAGAGGATTCTGACCAGCCTTAGACCACCCGCCCCCCACTCTCTGACTGACGCGTGGGCCGTCCAATCAGACAGCTCGAAGTGCGCCAGCCACTCAAGGCCTTCCCGAGAAATGCCGACGGGAAGGACTTGCAGCAAACCAGCCGTTTTGTTTACTTCCTGTGGACTTTCGGGTTAGATTGATTCATTATTGTTGCTGTTAGTATTCTCACTGCCATGATCACGATACAAGCCTGGCCTTCACCTTTCACCCTTCCTCAACCACACTGTGAAGCAAAAAGGCATCTGTAAAGAGAGGCATCCGAGTGAAACTGGGGGCTCCCTTCATCGCGGGGGCCCAGAAGCATCGCCACGACGACGATTATGATGCGATAATGAGTATTGTGCTCTTGCTGTTCTGTGCGTCTGTGACTTCAGTTTGTGACGAGTTGATTGTGCTATTCTGTTTACTTGTTTGTCTTTGTTGTTTTTTTTTTGTTTGTTTGTTTTTTTTACTTAATGTTGATTTGTTTTCGTTTTTTTCCCCCTCCTCTATTACTGGACGGCTGATATTAAGGATAGTCAAGCCTCGGAGGAAGATGAACGAAAAAACAAAGGGAAAGAAAAAAATGAAACATTTACAAATTAGGTTTTTTTAAAAATATTTTTTATATATGTTAGTTCCCAAAATGCAGATATTTATGGCAAAAATTCTTCATTTAACATATTTAAGATGCACTGTGTATGAGATGTTATTTTTTAGTGTTAAGTTATTAGGCAGTTGAGCCACACACTGGCCGTGATGATCCACCCAGGTTCATTCGTGTCGTTACCTCCTTCCTACCCCCCCACTCCAGATTCTCCGTTTATTTCCGATTCCCTGAGGTGCTGTCCGCCCCGTCTGTGTTGTTTTGCAGTCTGTGTATGGTGGAGTCCTCCTCCCTGATCCCAGTGTAACTCCAGTCTCCTGTATATAAATATATATATAAATGTGTGTATATTCACTATGGAGGCCTCCAGCAGCCTTATAAAAGGGAAATTAAAGTACAGTCCGAACCTCACTGCCCTGCCTGGTGTGTGTGTGTGTGGCATCAGACCGTGTGACAGTTTGGGACAGAGACTGGTCACCCTGCTAGTTACCATCAGGATCAGAATCTTTATTGCCGCACGACCAAAGGCGCTGGAAGTGCTTGGAAGCACCTTGAGATAGAGGGAGAATACAAACACAGAATACGTCAGGAGGTGGTAAACAAGGTGTTTGGGCAAAAATATAAACATAATATACATAACATGTGATGTGCAGGCAGACTGTCAGGGCTCTGTGCTGATGCAAATGTGAACATTGAAATGGCCCCAAATGTTGCACCGATGTTCACCAGCAGGGGGAGATGCTGAGGAGTCATACATGTGCAGAGGCTGCAACACCAGGGCCGAGTGAGAAAATGGCTTTAACTCCTACTGACCCAGTGAATCCCAGCTCAGCTGTAGAAAACTGTGTTGTTTTGGTTGACGGTATCAGCTAGGGAAAGTGATTTAATGAAATGATAAATATTTTATGTGACTATAGTCTGCCTTGGGTTTAAAAAAAAAAAAAAAAAAACAACAAGGAATGCATTTCAGAACATTCTTCAGACTTGCTGTAACATTTCAGTTAGTGTTTACGTGCTGCTTCACAGGAATCTGACACACCTGGGAAGCGATAATCCCAACTAGCCTCAGAGAATTCCGGATGCATTTCAGTCCCCTCAGAGCCAGCAGCTTTATGGTATGAAGACAGCCAGCAGAAAGGGAATGAGTATCAAGAAAAGGACACCGCCATATTTAAAAGTACAGAAGGGTTACATTTATTATTTAAGGGAGTCTGAAAAGCTTTCATTTCCCCCCCCCAAAGGTATTAAAATTACTTAAAATACAAATCAGGACATATGACAAAGATAATCACGTTTCAAATTTAACCATTACTTGTTACAGGAAAATGGTTATACTTTAACACACAGCAGCCTGCATGGACATGCTGGGTGCCCATAATAGTGCACGCTATACAGATAGGATGTGAAATACCCTCCCCCCTGCCAGTGCAGGGCTTGGTCGCTCACAAACAGAGCAAAAGGCTCACTGCGTTTCTGAAGGGGCACGATATTGGGCGAGGCGGCCATCACTGGAAAAATGCGCTGGGAGGCGCATATGTGGCAGCGAGTCTGAGGGCTAGCAAATCCCACCGGGCAGGAGAAGAGCTGCGGCGGCAGGCAGCAGCACGAGTAGGAGCAGGGGGGCGGGCGCTGCCGGGCTGGAGTTGCAGAAATCCAAGCTGCAGCAGCTGTAGCTCAGGTTGTAGCCGACGCCCATGTAGAAGACCCGGCTCCCCGTGGAACACTGCTTCTCAGGGACACAGCCTCGGCTGGCGAGCACCCCGTAGCTGCCGTAGCGTCCCGTCGCCTTGTGGCACACCTCCTGGGGCAGACACTCCGAATACATGGGCTTGCAGGTCTTATCGGCCGCCTGCAGGGGGCAGAAGAGGCAGCGCAGGTTCTTACAGAGCAGGCCTGGCAGCAGCATGCAGGCACACAGCAGCACAGCCAGGCGCCTACAGAGAGGAACCCTAACACCACAGAACACCATCCTTCAGCGGGGGGCAGCTGTCTGTTGTTAGCACACAGCTTGAATGAGTTACCTTTGCACCTGATGTTAGTGATGAACCTATCAAGGAGTCACTAAGCAACTAGCCAATCATCTCACCCATGCCAACCAATCAAATGGCTCATTTACACTTGATAGCAATTTGCTAATTGGCCCACTTGATTACATCTGTTTAATGTCTTTAGGGGTGTGTCTGACCAATTACAGGGTCACGATGCATGAATCTGCCACGGTTCTCCCACAGCAGGTGTGCGTAACTACATAATTTAACACCAAGTTAAAAGGTTGCTGGGGGGGCAGGTTCTGCATGAGGGCTGTGCAGGGATTATCTCACGCATACAGCCTGACCTGTGGTTCCGTTTACATTATCGACAGCTAGTCTCCTAAAGCCAAAATGGCAGCAGACAATGAGATCCCCAACTGTAAATGGTGGATTACAGTGTCTCGTGAAACTGCACAGTGCTACTTATAATAGTTACCACTTGCAATCCCTTCACAGGACACAGCCTGCAAAGGCTACACAGACCATGTCCCGCAAAGGCTACACAGACCATGTCCCCCAGGATGCAGCTCCTGAATTTGGGCATGGCTAATGTTTTGAATGAGTCCGCTGAGCTCTGGACGGCTGTGCACAGTAAGTTTGCTGCGTCTCGCAATCGCTTGATGAATCGGCTCACGGGGAATTTTCTAGGAACAGCTGTACAATCTGCTTTGTGGTTACTGGGTCATTGCTAATGAGAGGTCAATACCTTCAAGGCAATTATCTCTCAGGTTAAAAGGGTCAGTGATTTAATTATATTGGTGAATCGTCAACATACTTTTGCCTTAAGTGAAAACTATTTCATGTTGGGCTATTATTTAAAGCATCTAATTCGGCCTTTTGGGTGCTACAAGGTGAGTCAGATCACACAAATGATATGAAAATGGTTGCAGGTGTGTTTGGATGAGGACTGTGGGTAAATTTAAATCTGCCAATTTACTGCGAATGTTTTAAATTTTTTAAAAATAGAAATTTTATAATTAGAAATGAATGATTCAAGTTTTAATTAAATGTTTGGTAAAGTCAGTGACTTTAGATGTGTTCGCGTAAATATTGTTGGGGATAACAAACTTTATCTGTACCTCTTAACTGTTAATCTTTTAATGAATGAATTTTAGAACAAGTGACCAGAGAACGAATAGAATGAGTAATTGTTTCAGAAGATGGAGGAAATGTAGGAATACGTGTAACATTTTATGTATGGTTTTCAGTTAAACCTTTTACATGCTCAAGCGAGCGGGGTCCTGGGACAGCTTGAGTCTGGTTCTCAATCAGGCCTAATTAGCCAAACAGCAGCAACAGTAGGTCGAGAGGATAATGATGTTCCAGACTGAGGCCTGAGATTAAAACGGTGATGGATAATCACCCGCTGAAGCACTCAGGTCTGAACCAGCTACAGTATGAATCATGCTAAGTTTGGCAAAACTGTACTTACACACACAATTAAAAATAGTCATTTGGCAGGTTTACTGGAAATGTTAAAGGTACATTTCAGTACTACATGCTATTTGGTATATTTTCATAATTTTTTGATTTACATCATTGTTATCGATTTACATCAATTTTGTGCTAATTAAAAGTACTTCTGCATGTTTTTCTCATACATGGAAAAGCAGGAATTTCAGGCAGTTAACTGCTTATTTCATGAAGTAAATGCATGTATTCAGTTGTTTCGCATGATGTTTATATGACTGCTATTTGGCCCATTTGATTACATCGGTTTAATGTCTTTAGGGGTGTCTGACCAATTACAGGGTCACGATGCATGATTCTGCCACGGTTCTCCCACAGCAGGTGTGCATAACAACATAATGTAACACCAAGTTCAAAGGTTGCAGAAAGGCTGAAGCACCAAACTTAATGCTTAATGAAAACTACAGAAATGAGGCCTATAGTGTGCAGAACAGGCTCCAGAAATCAGCACAGGTCCCTAGAGGATCTTATACATGGAAAAACAGGAATTTCAGGCAGTTGAAACTGCTTATTTCATAAAGTAAATACATGTATTCAGTTGTTTCGCATGTTCGGTCTATATGACTGCTATTCCCTATCACCTTCTAAGTGCAGGGAACAACCCAGCATGCGGCAGTCACCCATCACAGGGGGAGTCACTCACACCGATGGACAATTTGATAACTCCAATAAACCTACAGCAGGTTTTTGGACTGTGAAAACCAGCCAATGCTGAGGAGACCCTATAACCTGAGGAGAACATTCAAACTCCTCACTGGTAGAGCTGGAGTGGAGATTCGAACCCTGGTCCTATGGGGGTGCCACTGTGCTGCCGGCATTACATAACACTGTAAGCCCTCGTACTGGCACTTCCAGTGATGGCTGAGCTCGGACTACCTGCACAATAAGCACATGTTGCCATGGTGACAGTTCTCCTCCAACATGGTGGTTTTCAGTACCCGATTCCTTTCTGTGCATTTGCGTTCTCTTTGGTTGGCTGGCAGGGGGTGCCTCGTTCTTTAAAGGTCACGTGACCCCCAGGGAAATGCTTGTCCAAAAGCCTGCACTTAAAGGGCCAGCATAGCATTTCGTAGTCACTCGGTTTGCAAAGTTAGGAATTGAAGTCTTAGCATCATACGAGTGGCCATGGGCCCGATCCGCAGCCCCCCTGCCTGTGATGTCCAAGTCGTCGTCCATCCACGGCGAGTCACGACCCACTGGAGCAAGTCTGACTTGCTTATTCTGATCAAGGAGGGGGGGCGCACCTGCCCTGCTCAGCACTGGGAAGCTCTAGGTCTGGCCTAGCAGGGGGGGGGCTAGACGCTGTTCCGTCGGTTGTGGATCATGGCGACAATGTGCGAGAGGTCGAGACTCTTCATCATGACTTCCATGAAGTCGCTGTCACTGCGTGCCCCGGCCACGAACTCTTCCAGGGACAGCTCGCCTGGGGGGGTGGAGGAAAAAGCCGATTGAAGAGGGTCCCTCTTATACAGCCTGTATGTGATCTAGCGTCTCACAGGGCTGTGAGTTACGATGCACGCAATTTAGCAGGGGAATCAATGTGGCCTGTGTGTGTAAGGTGACCTTTAACTCCGAGAAACAGGAAGCGAACCCACCGTCACCGTTGACATCAATCTTCTCAAACACTCGGTTGGTAAACTCCTCCACTGATACTTCCTGAGTTTCGTTCCCGTTAATGGCTCTGATGGCCTGGGGGGGGGGGAGGCAGGAGGGATGGGAAAGTTAAGGGCTGCAAAGTAGATAATCTTATCAGTGCTGGGAAATAATTTAAAATCCCACAGTAGGAAACAGGTTTGCTAGGGGAAGGTGACCCGTATACAGCTCGCATACTGTACTGCAATAAAACTTCCATTTGGGCGTTCTGTCCAGAAGGGAACGGGCGCAGAAAGGCGGGGTGCTTACTGTATAAATATCCCCCAGTGTTAATGCTACACCCCCACAGGAATATAATGCACAGAGATGGTGTGCTGGGTGGGGGTGGGGGGGGGGGGCTGAGTGATTACAGTGAAGCAGGTGTGGCACCATGAAGACGTGATGCCAATGACTGCAGCCCCGTGGGCTCTGCTTACACCGGCACTTGTGCGTGTGTGCGGTAGGCGTGTGCATGTGTGCGGTAGGCGTGTGCATGTGTGCGGTAGGCGTGTGCGCGCATGCGGTATGCGCGTGTGTGCGGTGTGCGTGTGTGTGCGGTATGTGTGTGCGTGTGCAGTATGCATGTGTGTGCGGTATGTGTGTGTGTGTGTGTGTGTGTGCGTGCGTGTGTGTGCGTGCGGCTTGCGTGTGTGTGTGTGCGTGCGGCATGCGTGTGTGTGTGTGCGTGCGGCATGCGTGTGCGTGCGGTATGCGTGTGTGTATGCTTCCGGCGAGGCCGCACCTTGATGATGTTGAGGAGCTCGTGCCGGTCGATGCAGCCGTTCCCGTCCACGTCGTACAGCCTGAAGTACCAGCGCAGCTTGTGCTCCATCTTCCCGCGCATGACCAGGCTCAGGGCTGCCACATACTCCATGAAGTCGATGGTGCCGTCCTGCCAGGTGGGGGAGCTGCACTCAGGCTTGGGGCAGATCCACCATAAACCAGTATTTCTCAACTCGGCCCTCAGGGGGCCCCAGACAGCCCATGTTTTTGCTCCCTCCCAGCATCTTAACCTGGAATTCCATGATCTTGCTTGGCTGGGATTTGCTGATAGGTGAATGTATTAATAACAGGATCATGGCGATTCTTCACATTTATCAAATACTATCAAATACTGCTACTAAATGATCATTTTATTAAAAGTACTATCAGAATTTTCATTTTAGTTCTCCAATAATAGAATTTCATCAGCTCTCTTAAATATTATGGGGTACTTCTTGCCCGATACAGTATAAAACAATAATGTAGCTGATGGATGAGTCATTAACTCTTACCTTAGTGTTTCTTAAATATGAGAAATCCAGGATGCGAAATATTCACTGTTATCCTAAGAAGAGTATATTTTTATTATTTTGTTTTTTTTTTTATCCAGAATGTGTATGACTATGATATTTCACCATCACTGCAGGGTTTAACTGGGCTTGTAAAGATAGTTACTTCCTTAGATAATGCCATTGTGCTCAAAGTAATTGTGGGTGAAAATGTTCCAGAGCTGTAACTGACTACCATAATGTTTGTTCATAATTGATAGCTAATAAAAAATAAATAAATAAAATGATAGCTAAATGTCTTCATGCCATACTGATTATTACATGGCTAATTTTGCAAAATGACTATGTACTTGCCATTAGTGTCCCTCACAAGGCTAACCCTTGTTTCTGCGACACAGTACAGCTGAAAATGAGTTATGGAGCCATAATAGCAGTTCCTGAATATTTTATAGAAGTTAAGCTTTTGTTTGATGTTCAGTCCAAATATTACAAGAGTCCAGCCTGCAGGCAAACACTCCGCATCTCATCACCGCCCTAAACTGTCCCTTTCTTTCACCCGCGCTGTGCACAAAGTGTGCACAAAGTGTGCACAAAGTGTGCACAAAGTGTGCACAAAGTGTGCACAAAGTGTGCACAAAGTGTGCACAAAGTGTGCATAGCTACAGAACAGATTTCCATAACTCATTCAGTCCACTGGATATTCAACAATTTTTGTGGGCTTGGAGAGTTTCGGTTCACAACACAAGTCATATGATGAAGACTGACTTTAGATTATTGATGGTCCCATCTTAAGATCAACAGAAGATGTACCGATTGAGTTTTGGAAATTTGCCCTTCAATTAAGCTTCAGTTAGGTTTTGTTCTGCCTGCATATGAACACCTTTGGTGACACCAAGACCCTGGTCCTCAGCGTTGGTCAGCAGTGACGCCTGGCCTACCTTGTTCATGTCAAAGGTGCGGAACATCTGCTCGATATAGGCACTGGCGTTGGGGTCGAGCCCCCGCAAGCCGAAGAACTGCTTGAACTCGTGCAGAGTCAGCTGACCTGAGGGACACTCGGTCAGGAACTTCTTGTACCACAGGTGCATCTCCACAGCCTGCAGATCGTCCACAGTGCAGCTGTTAGCATTGCCCATGTCTTGGGGCGGTGGGCTGGGCTGGTGTACCTTTGATGCTGCCAAATGATTCCTCCTCACAGTGACACCAATCTGGGGACCCGAACTACAGCGTGAGGGACTTTTTAATAGCAAGTTGTGGCTAATCGCTGACAATAATCCACTAGAGGTAATTAGATGGCTTAGAGAGACACTTTCTGACTCCTCCCAGCCCAGTAGAGTGTCGCCCGTCGTTTGCGATAAACTCGTCACTCACAGAGGTTCGGTCACTGGAAGGTTCCTCTCTAAAAACTAGTGAAGCATAATGGTCCTTCACAGAAACAGAGTATTCCCAGATGTTTCAGTGGCACACTGCAATATTTGATCAACAGATTGATCGCTTTGATGGCCAGGACAGATATAAAATGACTTGACTGAATTATATCATTGCCATTGTGCATTGTGCATCATTAAGAACGCAGTGATGAACAATCAAGAAAAAATTGCTTGCAAATTATTTAAAGCAAACCAATAAAATTTTATTCATAAAACTTTGAACTGTTCTGTAGTCATACAACAGTAATATATATATCTGTGAATATTCCAACCCTCCCCCAATTCAGATGCATTCCGCAGTCCATGATTGCACTGGCATCACGTTCGGAATGCAGTGCTGACTTCAGGCTTATGATCTTGCGTGAAAGGCTCGCGCTGCCATATTTTTCACAGTGAAGGCCTTATTCTACTGGGCTCAATGCATCACTAATGCGCTCTCTGTACCGTCAAGGCCTGCCACACTGTGCACTAGTGTCTCACTAGGGCTATTACAGCAGATGTCAGCAAACACATAAAGGCCCCGCAGTTATCTGAGGCACTGTGACAGGTGGGGAGCTTATTTAATACTTCTGCATGTTTTCCCATTTAGTGTCAGCCAGAATAAAGAGGGGGAGGGCAGTTTGCACCCTTGTGGGTAGAGTGGGGTAGGGGGGGCACATACAGCAAGCAGTTTCATTTGGACTAAAATGACAAATCATATCATTTGTAAGCCAGGTCATAAATGGATTTCTGGAAGCACATGTCTTCAGCAAATGACTTTTCCTAATCCCGTGTGTATCTGTTCTCTGGCTTCTAGCAGTTATTTTGCCGTGCTAAGAGGCTTCCCTGCCGGGGGGCGGGGGCATGCACTGCACTGCACCACATCTTCTGGATATCCATGTTTATTCAATTTTGTATGTCTCAGTTTTCACATAGAATATGTCTATTATTAACAGTTTTACCAAAAGTTATTGTAGTATATAGTGTGTGAAAATCTAGAGAATTGGCCGGGGGGGGGTCACTCGGGTATGTTTGTAGCATTTTTATGAGTGCAGTGATGAACAATCATGAACAAATTACCTGCAATTAATGCAAACCGATCAAGCCTAATTATTTCAGCCATTTTTAAAACCAAATACCACGCTGAGTATTTAAAAGGCAGACAGACAAGCGGACTTCATGCCCCGCTCTCTTTGTTATGCGTCTTGTGGTTCATAGCGAAAATGTCTAACTTTAACTTGCTGGCACACCCCCCATGTCCACAGCCGGAGACAGACAGGTGTTCCGTCAGGCCTGCTCAGAGCCATACTCAGAGCCATACTCAGAGCCATGCTCAGTCCCGTCTGCTCTCCTTGAGTTTGCAGAACAGAGATGCTGTGTGGCACACGTGAGGCGCTGTGCCATTGACTGTAAGCAGAAACGGACAGCTTCACTCCAAGTTGTGCTGCCATGACAAACGGAACACAAGATGGCTTGGCTGTTGTCCGTCAAGAGACACTGAATTGTCTCTGCTTGGCCTGTGATCATCTTCTACCACCACGACGATCAATGTTGTCACACGTTGGCGCATCTATGGGTCTCCAGGGATGACAATGATCTGCTGCCTTGCACCTCCTCGCCTTGTTCGTCTGGAGTCCAGTCTCTGCTTGGGCTCAGTGCAGAGGCACCATCCCCCGGAGGCCTCTCAGATTCCAGAGACCGGCCGGCGGAGTCAGTCGGACTCGGCATCGCTCCCCGGGTGGAGATCCACGCTGACTCCGCCCCTCCTGCTCCACCAGTGCAGGTACTTATAGAGAGTGTCAAAGGTGGCCGCCGTGTAGTGCGACAGCGCAATTGTCCAGCGTGCAAACACCATCAGGAGGCTGATGGAGCGTGCCACCAAGCTCACAAACACACTGATGTAGTGTACAAGGAGGAAGAGGCTCTGTCCGAGCTGCCTGCCACACCTAATGAGCAAATTCACCTTAGAGCCATGTCCGGCCATTTTTGGTAAAGACTATTAAGAGTTAACAGAGAGAGACCGAGAGAGAGAGAGAGATTAGTGAGTGAGTAAAAGAGGATTGGTTGAATTATTCATATGATGCTCAATTTTTCCCATTTTGCAAATGGCTTTTAGAGCTCATGCTGACTGAATCATGAAAATCAGAGATCGTTCCTTTTTTCTTTAGCTAATATTGCATTTAGATCCTCCCTTGTTCGTTTTGTGAATCACGGCAGCCGACAAAATGCAGTTTTCTGATGTCTTGGCAATATTTCTAAGTACAACATTAAAACCCGGAAAGTGAGGGCAAATATCAAACACTCAGTGACAGCAAAACACCCAAAGCTGCCCAGTGACAGCAGAGTCCAAAGGCAGGTCGGCGTCTCTCGCGTTCGCACAGCGGCCGTTACCTACATCCCAACAGAGAAACAGACTACCTAAGTAAAGTAGCTTAGTTAAGATTAACAGCGATGAGTCTCATAACCAGCATATTAAACAATGCGTCGATGTATAAGGTTTGCATGGTAAGCTAACTAGCCAAGCTGTGACAAACGCTCAAATGGATGTAACGATGCAGGCACTTCTGACAACAGGCATCTTAAATTTACCTTTATTATAAGAGGCTGCCCTTGGTATTCGCCTGCTTTAGCGCACCATCCATGTCTTCTACGCCCTGTGCAGCGGCTGACGCGACTGCGCAGTAGCGGCTATGGAGCTTCTTGATCGCCGAAGTTTGATAGTTCTCGGCATATTTCGGCTCTTTCCGCAGATCTGCTATTTGCCGTATTACACGTAAAAGCAGCAGTTCTGTGTGCGTTAAGAGGTCAGTTAATGGTCGCTGTTACTTTTGAATGCATTTGTGCTATTTTTGGATTTTATTCGCATTATGTTGCATTTACAACTGTTACTGTGCAAGCACATTGCAAAATCTGAGAGTTGCAATAAATACAGATTAAGCGAAGGAAGGAACTGTCCTCTCTGTCCATAGGGAATGTGTTTTGGTGGAGCGTGGAGTCTCCTTTAATCTCATCCTTTGAGAAGAGGACCCTATGAAATATAGAGCCCAGGTCGACAGTGGTATGAACAGCATGGACAAGTATCTGTTGGGAGGAAGGGGGGTATGAGGCCAGGGTACGGCTGCTGGATAAGAGGGTGGCAGGGGTTTCTCTAAGGGGGGGGGTACGGCTGCTGGATAAGAGGGTGGCAGGGGTTTCTCTAAGAGGGTGGCAGGGGTTTCTCTAAGAGGGTGGCAGGGGTTTCTCTAAGAGGGTGGTAGGGGTTTCTCTAAGAGGGTGGTAGGGGTTTCTCTAAGAGGGTGGCAGGGGTTTCTCTAAGAGGGTGGCAGGGGTTTCTCTAAGAGGGTGGCAGGGTTTTCTCTAAGAGGCCAGTCTGTGGTACAGAGTGCCACTGCCAGGCATAGGCAAACAAGGGCGGCCATGTTGTTTAAAATTATATATGAATATATGATCATATATGATACAATATATATTTTTAAAAGTGAGCAGTGGTGGCTTAATGGTTTGGGAAGCGCACTTGTAATTGAATGAGTTACTGCCCCCCCCCTACTGCTCCCCGGGCTCTGAATTAGCTGCCCCCTGCTAAATCACGATGTCACATATAGGTTAAATGCGGAGGACACGTTTCATTTTTGTGCACTGTGTTCTGTGGTGTGTCATCAATGATCACTGATCACCTAAATATAAAATTTATAAACACAATTACACAAAATTAAAAATAAAAAAAAAATAAAAACATTTGCATCAAATTCAAATGTTTAAGCTCAGGCAGAAACATGGTCTTCTAGATATAAGCAGGACAGGCAGTTGCCTGGGGCCCTGAATTACCTGAACTGAGGAGGAAGTGAAATGATCATTAGTGTTTTTGGTGGGGTCCTCCCAAGTAAAGCGCTGCCAAGGGCCCCTGAGAAGATAGATCCAGCCCTGGTATATAGGGACAGTATTTCTGTGTATGTCCATCCATCCTGGGAATCATACACAAAGCAGATCTCGTACAATCGACACATGGGGCTCCACATTCCTCGAGGCTGCCCAGCACTGGGCGAAAAGAGCTAGTCACGATCCTTATGCAGCCAGCACCTGTCGCACTGACTTGGCTCAGTCACTAGGGTCAGTCTGGCTGTGGCTATGGAACACTGGCCCAGAGAGAGAAGCTGCTGGGCTGGCAGACGAGTCTCAGTGCAGGATAACGCCAGTGCTGTCGGGCCGCCAGCCTGTTAGGTAAGACGGCCGCTAATCCCGTCCCCAGAGCTTCTGACAGCTGACCTTGACACAGCTCACCGGTGAGCCAGTGCAACCCAAATTCATGACTAAACACTTCCTACTGATTGACGGTGAAGGGATGCAGACTAAAATAGAAATGTAGGTCATCCACGGATGGTCGTGTCTCTTTCCTGACCCCTGGAAACTCGGCCATCAAAAGTAGCTGCTTAGGCTTCGTACTCTTCTCTTGATGGTATGGATGTCGACTTTGTCACATAATCGATTTGATCTAGCAGCTGAAGTCATCCCCCTAATTATCAAATGATGACAAATGATGATATTAAAGCTGAGATAAGCGGTCCTCCTTTTCCTAGTTGGGATTGTGCACCTTGGCCAAGATCCTGGGAGCATCAGCTCTTCTCTGCCAATATGTTGAAAACCTGAAGTCAACATGTGTATCTGAAGGGTGCAATGAAAGAATCCAAAGTACAAGGACAGTAATACTTCCTTCTCTGCGGCTGCTGATATGACACATCCGGCTTCTTCATATTTTAGCACGATCTAACTCCCGCAAATGTGTTCCTCTTGAAAAGCTGAGTTCCCTTTAGTGTCTGCAGGTAGCTCAGAACTCCAGCGTGAGAGTTACTGAGACAGAAAGAGATACAATGCAAGCACTAAATATCAGGCGAAGGACTTTGTTTGACTCTAAAGTTGAGTCATGTTAGGGTAAATCCCCAGTATCCATATGTTTAAGGTACAAAAGAGCTTTGACAATCAGAGCTTTGATAAATGAGTTCAAAGCAACAGTGTGATGAACAGTTACTATGAGAAAAAACAGTCATTTGAATTGCAGGTGCATTAGCTACAAGAAACAGCAACATGTTTTATTGCATCAAAGGGAACAGCCTCAAAAATCATGGCAGCGTCTATTAGGCACACTACACTGTAAAAGAGCATTGGGGGTGCAGGTTGAAGCTTCCTGGCAGGGATATACAGGCACCCAACAGCATAGGTGCTGAACTCCACAAAAGCATGGTCTCAAAAATGAGCAGTGAACTGAATCAGCACCTCTGTGACTCAGCAAAAACCGTGTGCTGTGAACTCTGCATAGCTGGAATGCACAAAGACCCACAACTTTGTATAAGGAAGACAATTCTAGACCCCTGAACAATGGGGAAAAAGTCATATTGTCCGATGAGTCATCTTTATCCCTGTTTCCTGCATACAGTTGGGTTTACATTTAGAGAACGCCATCATTTCTGTCAGTGTCGGTTGTGTTGCCAGTCATTACATCTGATGGCTGCTCCGCATAGTCGTATAATCAAGGAATGCAAGTCCCATTGATAGCGCCTTTAAGCTCTGGGAATTCTGTAGTACAAAATACAGCATTGATTTTCCATCTCTTTCATCCCTCAAAGTACTCAAGGTTTTTCTACTTGAGGAATGTTCCCAGTGCACAGATTTCAGCCGATTTTGCACTTCTTGAACGCTTCTTAAAAAAGACTTCTTAAAGGCGTGTGCTCCTAGAATTTTCTGTTTGACATCAGTAAAATACGTCTATGTATGTATGATGGCAAGGCAGCAAAGCTCTTCAGAAGGGCCTTTATATTAATATAACGTGTTCCTGTTATTTTGTCCTACTCCTGTATATACAAACAGCCACATCAGCAGTTTTATTTATGATAAGACAGGAAACAGGTCTTAAGTTTCTGTATACAGATTGATACTGATTAAAGGGAGGTGTCCCGTATATTGATAGACAGGCAGTTCCACACACCAGAAGCCCTGTAACTGAAGGCTTTACCCTCAGCACTTATTTTAGGCATTAATAGACTTTTATCCAGATATCTGAGGTGCATTTTGGATTTAACACATTAATCAGCTCTGTAAGATAAGCAGTGGCCTGACCTTCCAATACCTCATAAGCGAGGGGAGGAATTTTGCATCTTGAATTCAGTGGGAAGCAGTGCATTGATTTGGGAACAGGCATAACGTCACTGCATTTTGTGGACCTTGTCACAGTTCTGCAGCGTCTTGGATTTGCCTGCAGTCTGTGCCCTGTGGGAGCAAGGCGATGCAGGCTGGCTAATCTTCTACAGACAAATGCAGTATTAATTTTTCCTGTATCCATATAATCAGCTTAAGAGTCTCAGTTTAGCACTGGAATAGACAGAGGGCTCCATCGAGTCAGCGGATTACCTACTAAAGCCTGAAACTGTTGTACGGTGCAATTGCTCTGATTGTTCACCCGTGTAGCGAATTTTGGGATGATTTTGCTGTTTGGGATGATTTTGCTATTGTACATTTCCTGCTGTGGGCTTTTGATCGATTGCCCTCCCTCTGCAAGCAATGAGATTCAAGGCTTGGCAGGTTGCCAGTGGTCGTTCCAGAAAAAAATGAATGATTTCAGAGCTTGGCTAAAGCCCGCTATAGAGAATTTGTCCCCATTATTCAGTGACTCTGGCTCAGTGACCCTACAGTCAGGTGATAATGAACAATGGAACCTTGGGTTTGCTAGTTCATTCACTTGAATTTGCCACATTGAGGTCTTAACTTAAATGCAGCTGGGTGATTCAGTTCCAGTTCCAGCATGAAGCCTTTGTTTTAAAACTAAAAAATATCTGCTTCTAGTCTAGATTAAAATTACACTCAAACTAGTGTGCTTCATAGGCACACCAATTACTAAGAACAAAGAGTCACAGAGATTGTTGGAGAGAGAAACTTTATAGTGCTTAATCTTGATTAATGTCTCTGTGTACAAGCAAAAAGCACAGTACAGTGATTTCCCGCTATATCGCAGATTTTTCCCCGACGTATCACAGTTCTCTGCGTATCCCGTACCTTGCTTGTGGTCCAAGTGTTGTGAGCAAACTTTTTGTGAACCCATACTGAGCTTAAAATGTTTTTATTTTTAGAGAGAGAGAGAGAGAGAGAGAGAGATGTGTATGTGTGTATACACTCACCTAAAGGATTATTAGGAACACCATACTAATACGGTGTTTGACCCCCTTTCGCCTTCAGAACTGCCTTAATTCTACGTG